AGTGTGTGGCCAAAAAATAATTAAATAAATACGAAAACGAAAATGAACATGAACATGAAAATCAAAAATCAAATGCCAAACAAATCAAATCAATTTGATGCACACATCCACGCGCACTCACACTCACACACTCATGCGCTCTCACACAGAAGGCAACGAATCAACCAACCAAAAACAACGCTAATATGACACTTTAACAGTTAAGCCAACACATACTCACACTCAGATCCACACACACGCACACACACACGCACAACTAATAATAAAAAATCATAATTTCAATCAAAAGCAACAGCAACAGCAGAAGCAGAAGCAACAACAACGACAATAGCCTAAGCAGCGGTAGCAATAACAACAACAAGAATAATAATAATAATAAGAAAAGCGACGGCACCTGCATAGCGCGCGCTCTTTTACACCTATGCATGCAAGTGTGTGCGTCGCAGCTAGCGGCAGCAGAGGCAGCACCAACAACAAATATTTAGAGCTGAGTAAAAAAGTTAGCGCCGCACTCAAAACGAAATGCCGCTCAGCTCAACCCACCGGCGACAGCAAAAACAACAGCATAGATGAGCGCGTGCGCAACTGAGAGAGTGTTCGGTGAGAGCGCATTGCATAAAGAAAAATAAATTTAAAAAAAAAAACAATTTAAAGCAAAAGAAATCAAAGCCAAAGCTGTTGAAAAAAAGCCGCACTCTCACACACACACACACACATGCAAACACATATGGGAGCAGGGCAGAGCGACAGCTTAAGCTCAATTCAATGGCGTTTTGTGCGAGCGAGTGAGCGCCATAAAATAAAATGCCACTGCTAGTGCTGTTGTTGTTGCTGCTATTACTGTTTTTGGTTATTTTTGTTTTTTGTAACTTAACTTATTACAGCAACAAAAAACAGTTGAGGGAACAAATTTTGTTGTTGGGGATGCTGCAACGTTTGCTGCCTTCTGACTCCTGCTGCTTCTTCTGAGCTGCTGCTGCTCTGCCACCGCAGCTGCTGCTCTGCCTCGGTAGTCGCATAGTCGTCGTCGTCGTCGTCGTCGTCGTCTTCGTTCGATGAATGATGTTGCGTCTGTTCGCCACTTGCTGCCAACAACTACCTGCGCGACCACACACACACGCACACACACACTCACACACATGTCGCTATCGCTGTCGACGTTGTCGTCGCTGTCGCTGCTTTAGCCTCACGTGTGTGTCCATTGACGACGTCGTCGTCTGCTTTACTCGCCAATCAAATGGGGCGGGGCTTAAATCGTTTTTATTTTTGTGTTCTTTTTTCCTTTTTATATTTCTTCTTCCATGTCGTGTGACACTTGCGCCTGTACTGGTCTCGCTGTTCTGTTCGCAAGCATTTGTATGTATGCGCGCATGTGTGAGTGTGTGTGTGTGTGTGTGTGCGTCTGTGTATGTCGTATACGATTTGGTTTTGGTTTTTATTATGCGAATTATCGAAAATTGAGCACGTCGAGAAGTGCGCCCGCACACGTGTGTGACGGAGTGATACTTTCTGAGTGCGTTTCATCTGAGTGAGTGAGTTTTTGGCTCTTTTGGGGCGGCCGGCGTTGGGAGTTGAGCTTTTGCTTCGGTCCACAATTTAGAGCTCATGTCGAAAAGGGGCAATTAAATATAAAATATATCAGTTAGTTCCGGCACTCACTGCCTTTCCTTGAAAATATTTTAATGCCCAAGTAACTGATGATGAGTTTTTATTAAATGATCGTTATTTCAATATTTTGGGTCATAGCACTATTCTGGTCTTAATTCAGTTAAAAGGAATTAAAGAACATTATTTTTAAATTGCGAAAATATTTGAAGCTTCATTCCGGATCGAATGAAATATTTCTTTCCAGAGCGTTTCGGCTGTGGCCTTCAAAACCACATCAGATCTGGCGATATAATCTCATTTGCGATTATCTGTAGCTAAGAAAAATTTCCTTACTGATATCGATATCGAATTCTTTATTTTTCTGTATATTTCGATTAGTTTTTAAACGACTTCAAAAAGGAGGAGGAGGTCTGCAAGTTGAAGAATTTGTTAAGTACATTCAAAAGATTCGAAGCACTTGAAGCGAGCATTCCAAGCTAGCGAGCGCTCGTATTAAAGAGATTTTATTCAGAATTTGTACAACGTTTCTTCTTTTCAATTCGAGCTTAAACAAATTTCGTTCCTAAAAAACTGTACGATAGTTCGGATTCAACAGTACGAGCATTTCATCATCGAGGGTCCTTCAAAGTTAATGCCGAATAGTAAATGTAGCCCGCAGAGCTTTCAGATTAGTCGAAGGACATCGAGAAGGCTCACGCACTCACACACATCCAGTAAAGCAGCCGATTATTGTGGGGATTGTGGACGATGATCGTTTGGATTCCAGCAATGGGGCGGATGCAGATTCTTCAGTTGACTGCGATGTGGCTGGGCCACGGGCTGATCACGCTGTTGCTCACGCAGCTGCTCACGAGCGTGAACACGCTGCTGTCGATTCGCAATGCGTCGGCTGCGACGGATGGAGGAGCGGACGGCGTTCGCATTGCTGTTGCTCGGCACGGGCGTTAGGGCGGGTGTGTCCGCCGGCGTCAGGGCTGGCGTGGACGATGGTGTGCAGTCTGGGGAGGAGCCGGGCGTGGTCTCTGGGGTGCTGGCGGGCGTTGGCGGCGGAGCTGGCGCCAACACATTCAGATCCACGCCGGGAAAATAGATGGAGGTGCGCGGCATATAGATCGGTGTGGACTCCATGTGGCAATCGGCGATGCTCGAGGACTCGTGCAGCATCGATATGTCGAGGGCTTGTCGTCGGCTGACGGCATCAGCGGCATCCATGGTGATGGTGGAGAAGGGCGGCGCTTCATAGAGACGCCGGCTGGTCGACGGGAAGCTGGGAAGACGTCGTCGTTCCGGCACACCTCTATTGCCTCGTTTGCCTCGTTTGCTCTCCTGGCATCGATGGTCCGTTGTGTGCTCCCTGTGGCCAGGGCTGTCGTTGCCACTCAATTGACGCTGAGGCAATATAAAGGTGGTATTCGAGTAGCTTTCCCGCAGAGTCTGCCGTCCCAGCTGGCGCTGCCAGAGCTGTGCACGCATCCGCTGCCAGAGTTGTCGCTCCTCCCGCTGCTGCTGGTGCGGCAAATGCGTTCGAGTGCTGCTGCAATGCAGACCCCAGCCAGCAGTCGCAATGCTCCCACTCTCTGGCTGTCCTGGCAACCCATTGCGCTCTTCATTGGACTCCATGGCGCCGTTATCCAAGCCATCAGAAACAGCTGCTGCTGATGTGGAGGGCTCCTCGGCACTGTTCTCTGGGCTCTCCGGGCTCTCAGTTTCCGGCGTTAAGAAGCTGCTCCTCCTCCTGAGAATTGCACAGTTCCGACTACAGCAGGGCTGCTGGTCCGCATCGGAGGAGCTAGAAGTCTCCTCTGTAGCCACCAATGGAGCTGCAAGCGGCTGCGGAACAGCACAGTTACGGCTCACTTGAGTGCCGCCAGAGTTGCCATCGTTGCCAGCGGCGGAACGGGACACGTTTATCACAGTCATGGAAGAGGAGGCGGAGGCCACCAGCAGCGGTTCAGCGCCTCCCAGGCGGCGATGGCGCCACTCATGAGTTTGCACAGGATCTACTGTAGAGGATCGGGGTCTAACAATAGCCACGGGGCTACGTGGACGCTCCATGTCCGTAAATAGCGGCATTTCTGTCTCTTCGCGCTTCGATTGCGAGAATTTTGGTTTCCCCCAAAAATTTGAATGCAAAAAAAAGAGCTCGTATTGTAATTATTGAAAATTTTCGCTTAGAAAGGACCCGCAGAAATTTTGTTGCAATTTGGAAAAATCGAATTTTATTTTCTAATATTTTACGAGCTCTTCACTTTTCGACAACCGAAATGAATTGACAAGAAAATAGCTGACAGCGGAGACAAAGCTTAGCTTATTGCCATCGGAAGTGCATTAAGGGGAACAGAAATCCAAATAGTTAACAAATTCAATTGAAAATCGTCCTTTTTTTGCGCTCAATCAAGTTCGAAAACATTTCGAGCCCCTCCGCTCGATTGCAACTGCAACTCAAACTTCTCCAACATGCGGATACGCACAGACGCACACACACATATGTATAACAGCAAGCAGCGAGAGAGGCCAGCGCAAGAGAGCGAACGCTTGCGAGTGGCGGAATGAGTGAGTGAATTGTAAGTAAAACCGGCTTCTCTCTCGCTCTCTTGAGTGCCTGTGCTATTCTTATTTGATTTCAATGCTGCAGCTCATCCGCATACATAGTTCTTGTTGTTGTAGTTGTTATTACAAACACTTGTTCGTTTTGTTTATTGCACTCGCCCCAGCTTAGGACCAACAATTTCCCCATCTTGCAATCCATTGCCAATTGGATGGATGGGCTGCTCAGTTAGTTGTTCTTGTTGGGGGTGGGGGTTGGAGGTGGCACAACTTTGTCAGCACACAGAATTCACATTTTCACTCGTTACGGAAATATTCATGGTCGCGGGTCGTGCGCCAATTTCTTGGTATTTACTTGCGCATTTCTTAAGAGCAGTTCGCACCGAACGGGCGGAGGAGTGCTTTCCCAATTGGTAATATGTGGTGGGGTGTGGCGGGGTCGTGGGGCTAGTGGCACTCAGACTGTCATAGAAAACAGTTTTCTGTTTACATGCAATTCTTGAAAAGTGAGTAGCTAAAGAGAGAGGGAGGGGGAATTGTGATTGTTTCTATTTAATCATTTAAATCAATTCGCAAATCGTGATTTTGTTTAAATTTTAAAAGATTACAAATTTCCAAGAAACTTACCGATCAACGATTTAAGTTGCTGTATTGATTTATATTTTGTGTTGAGTTCAATTTTTCAAAGAATAAAGGAATTTTGATTTGGAAAACTGTAGATGCTTACGAATGTGTGACAAGACTAATAAATGCGTTCCAAGTTCTGCTCTAAAGGAATTTAATAAAGCATCTATTTAAAAATCATGCTTATCGTTTTTTAAATACTTTATTTATTGCAAGTCCTTTTCATGTATCAACGAGACATAAATCAATGCCAATCAATGTCTCAATCAAATAAAAATGTGCACATGAGTGCTGTCTCTCTTTTTTTGTTTGATGAGCCCTTTCGTTGCATCCATTGATTGGCGTCAATTATGTTTGGCGCTCATGTGTCTAAATGAGAAAGAAAGTACGAAAAAATGAAAGAAAGCGTTTGCCTTTTACACACTCACACACACACACTCACACATGCCAAACTGTACAAGAAATGGTTGGTTGAAAAGCAAGAAAAACAAAACAGCAACAAAAACAACAACAACAATAGCGCTGAGGAAAAAATCTAACAGCAATGAAATGAAATGAGTTTCGGCAGCAGCGGCAGCAGCCCGAACGTCGCGTCGCCTCGCCGAGTAGGTGGCTGCACCACCCACTCCCTCCGCCCGCCCTGCATTCACTGCTCTGCGTGCCCAGCCTGCCTAGCCTAGACCAACCAACTCCCACTCCCGCTCCCACTCTCTGTCTTGCCATTCCTCTCCCATGAAGTTTTGGTCCCCCATCTCTCTTTTCCCACAGTTGGTTCTGCCGCGTCGGCTGCTGCGTTGGCGATGGCGATGGCGGCGACGGCGGCGGCTACTGCTGCTGCTGCTGCTGTTGTTGTTGTTGTTTGTACCTCTGCCAGCGACTCCGACGACTCTCCTGCTGCAACGCATTATTACTGCTCTTGGCTTGGCTTAACTTGGCTCTCTCTGTGTGCGGTAGGCGCCCTCCGGTTAGTGGGTAGTGGGTGTCATTCTTGCTGTTACTCGCTGGTGTGTGGGTTAAGGTTGCTGGCCCCTCTCTCCCCCGCGGCTGCTGCAATGCACTTGGCGCTCGCCGCTCACCGCTTGCCGCTTTGAGTTCGCCTTCTCGATACAATTTGAACTTTTCTTTGCACAAAAAGAGTAGAAAGAGAGTAGAAGAGCGAGCTATTTAGATTTGTTTTATGTGTGTGATTTTTTTTTCTTTGCTTATTTTTTATGAAATATTTAATATTCCGTGTACATTTTGGGAGAGAGCAGGAGGAATTGATCTGATTTGGCAATTTACAGAAAAAACTGCCGAGGAAGCTCTAATTGGTAGCCAAATAGATAGTTTTTTTTTTTAACAATTTTTAGAAGGCGCTGTGAGCGTTCCTGAAATAGATGATTTTCCTTCGGTTAAGATGTCAAATTTATTGTGAATGTGTAGACCCCCTGGTTTTACATATCAGAGAGATGGTTGCCTTCACATTGAAAAATAAAAACAAGAATGACAGCCAACCTTTTCCCATCTAGCATTTATTAATTTTCAAAGTGAAAATTCTATCCTCTATGCTATGGAAAGGTTATGAAAATTCGCTCAGCATTGGGGTAAAAGGGTTCCATGAACTTCGAACTTGTTTATATTTAAGCCAAATCAGAACTGAGAGCTGTTCTAAGAATTAACTGTGAAACATAAGACGCTTAAACGTTTTTACACAAAACATTCATTTGAATGAATGTACATAAAACTTGTAGAAAAATCAATCCGGATCAATGGAGTCCCAGAATTTCACTTACCATTCCGATAAAGCCACATTTCTTCAGTGTCTTCGCAAGCGTTGACCTTTGAGAATGCCTGCCTGCCTGGCTGCCTGCCTGGCTGCCTGCCTGCCTGTTTTCCTTTCAGGCCATGTGACCTTTGGCAGCTAGTCAAAGAAGCCCCAACAAAGCCTTGCCTACAATTGCATTGCCTTCCCCAACTCCAAACCCAACCTCCTCCCAAATCCCAAATCCCAAATCCACACTCACACAGAGAAAGAGAGAAGCTCAGATTTAGCGAGACGCCAGCTTGAAACACGACAACTAGCAAACCAGACACAATAATAATTTGAACTACCCACGGCCATTGGACCGGACCGACAAGCCAAAGAGCTGCAACAACAAAGAAGCGAACGAGTGCAAAGCTGGCGCTGCTCTGACCATATGTTTGCCCCCCAACACCAAGGCAAAAACTTAATTCATAAGCAACAAAAACAACAATAGAAAGCAGCAGGAGCGACAGCAGGAACAAACAGCAAGACTCCTCCACTTCCCCTTAACTAAAAGAAAAAAGATGAAAACTACCAAACACTCAGCAGTAGTCGGTAGTCGGTAGTCGGAAGTCAGCACTCACAATCACAATCACTCGCCCAGCCACCCACCTCTATGGCCATTGCCATTCTCACTACTACATACATATGTACTACATATGTGTGTATATGCACTCCACTCAATCTGCGGCTCAATAAACAAAACTATAGGGGGCAGAAAAATGAGCGCATTGCAATCTCCTGACGAGCATTTTCCTATAAGTTTTTCCCAATAAGAAAAAAGGCGCAACTCACACACACATCGAGAGGAGTGAAGACAGACGTTGGCAGCAATGGCATTAGCGGCGCCTCGTTATGCGTGCAAGCGAGACAGACAACAAGGTTTGAATGAATGAATTTCAATACACATGCAACTGACAACAGTTATCAAGCACCAGCAGCAGCAGCAGCAGCGGCACCAACAACAACAACAGTTGAACACGAATAAAAAAAAAACAACACATATAAACAAAAACAAAAAGTAAAGCAAAACCTTTTAGCATGTGGACTAGAGAGGAGAGAGAGCGCCAACAACGACGGCGACGACGCCAATGATTGAGTGACTGTGACTCTCTCTCTCACAACGCAGCGCGTTGTTGGTTCGTTTGTTCGGCCTGCGTCGTCATCGTTGTTGTCGTCGTCGTCGCCGTCGTCGTATTTGTTGGTTGGTACGTTCGGTTTGGTTCGTTTGCTGCTGTCGCAGTCGCCGCTGCCCAAACTGTGTGTTCGAGTGTGCGTCTGTGCGCCTGTATGGGTGCGTTGTTTGTGTGCGAGGGTTGTCCGCGCTTCGTTAAGGTTCGATTTGTTCAGTCATCAACTGAATTCGTGACTGGCAACGTCGCTTGTGCCCTCTGTTACTCAGAGCTCTGCGTGTGTGTTGGGACGTTTTCACAGTCGTCGTCGACGACCAGCGACAACAACGTCAACGACAAACGACAGACCAAAAGAACAAGCATAACAATAATAATAACAACAACAAAAAGAAGAAGCGAAAAAAAAAACAAGTAGCATCTGTGGAAGCGGCACGCAGCATTATAAACAAAATCATAAAAACCAAAACATAAATTAATTATCAACAACAGCAACAGCAACAACAAATGCAAAAGGCTGCGACTAAAAGATTTAACATTAATTTTTTTTTCACCCACCTTGTCGCTTCTTTTGTCGCCAGCAATGATTTCAAGAAATTTTTTGTTTAGCGCAAAGTAATAATAATAACAACAACAACAACAACAGAAGCAGCAGCAGCATCAAGAAAATTAAAAAATCTATTTGAGAGAAACGCGTGTGAGTGTGTGTGTGCGAATGCAAAACAATTGCAACAGCCGACGCGGCATGTAAGAGAAGATCGAATCAAAAAAAAAAAAGTATTAATAAAATTCAATTCAAATCCATAGAGCAGTGCAGATTTTTTTTTATTGTGCGATCCGATGATGGCTGGAACGTGTGTTAAGAAAGCGGCCACAACAACAGCAACACCAACAAAGGCAACAGTAACAACAACGTGAACAACAAACGCTGCAAAAAATTATTAAACAACAAATATACACACACATTCTAGCTATATATGTGTATATATAATCTGTTGGTCATGGCAAATCGGTGCAGCGCTTTGTTTAACAACGCGGCGCACGCGGCAGCTGACAAACCGATTTAGCGGCCACAACAACAACAGCAACATCAACTAAAAGCGCACAACAGAGAATTCTCGGGAGAATTCTGAATAACATAAAAATTTGTACAAACAAGTGTGTGTGCGTGTGTGTGCCTCCGCCTCCGGCTCCTGTCTCTGTGCCTGTGTGTGCGTGTGTGTGTGTGTCTTTGTGTGCCTCTCTGTGTGCGTGTGTGTGCAACAACAACAACAACAACAGCAACAACTTCCAAAACAAATTTGTGCAAAATTTTCTCGGCACAAATGAATTTTTTTAGCACGAAAGCAACACAAAGTTTGTAAAACCAAAAAGATTCAAAAAAAAATCGAAATTCGAAAAAATTCAAGCAAAACAAAGTGCAGTTGACAGTGACTTGAAAGCCACAGAAGAGATCGAGGGCTACAGAGCAAGAGATAGAGAGAGAGAGAAAGAGCGAGTGTGTGTGTGTGGGAAGAAGAAAGCACAACAACAACAACATCAAGCAACAACAGCAACAAGCGTCGCAAATTCTCAATATAAATAATTAATAAATAACTCGGCATAAATGTTGCAAAAATTTGATCACCACGCTTCATATTATTCATCAACAATACCAGCAACAGCAGTAACAACAAATGTATTAACTGCAATTGCAACAACAACAGCAACAACAACGCCAATAATAATAACAGCAACAACAACAACAACAACAAGTGCAGCTTGGGCGGCCAAACAACAACAAGCAGAAGACGAAATACTAGAGCAGTATTAGAAAGAAAAGTAGAAACAACAACAACAACAACAACAAATCACAACATCAACAACAACAACAAACAAAACACACACACAGCCCACGAATGCAGCCAACATTGCCACAAGCCGCTGGGACAGCCGATATGGATCTGACGGCTGTTCAATCAATCAACGATTGGTTTTTCAAAAAGGAGCAAATTTATTTATTGGCACAATTTTGGCAACAGGTAAGCACAAGAAACCGAAACCGAAACCCCAGTGTTACCCGAAAACCTACATAGAACGCCTCTCCCCCACTACCGCCTTCCCAGCCCCATCAACCAGACTAGTGAGTGCAAAAAATAAAAATATAGATCTATTGTGCGTGTTGAGTGAAAAGTGTTACAAAGTACCTAGAAAGTTAAAAAAATTTTAAGAAATGTGGAGAAATTCTTTCTTTGAATACGAATTGAAATTGGAGAATTCAGAAATACTCGTATGTCCAAGCAATGTTTATAACTCAACTTTATTTGGCATTTAAAGAAAGAGTGAGAGTTTAGTTTATTTATCCCAAAAAACACAATCTCTGCAGAGGACAAAAAATTTTAAAAATAGAAATGAAGCTCCCGTTTCGAATGAACCACAACAATGCCTGAGCGATTATAGTGTTTGAGCTTCAATCAAGCAGCAGCATATTGAACAAAACGTATACTAATAGTTTTTGGGAATGTTTTTAATAATAATTGTTGAAATGAATAAAATTCCTAATGGCGGATCTACTTGAAAATTGAAGAAAATTGAAGAATCAATTAGTTTGTAGGCATCTTTCAAGTAGTACAGAAATTCTGCAGGAATGTTATGATTACACATTTTGATTGATGTGCAGAAAATTCATAATTTAATATCAAAAAGTATCCATAACATTAACCTAAACATTGAAACAAAAGCAAAACTAAATTAGAAGTTGACTGAAAATTACAAAAAGCGTACCAGAAATAGGATTTGAAGATAAAAATATGTTTAACTACAAGTATGTGCCATTTATATCAATCAAAATTTCATTCGGAAACAGAGGAAAATAGTTGGGCTATAATATATATATATATATATATATATATATAGATATAGTATATATATATATATATATATATATATAATATAGATTATATATATATATATATATATTATATATATATATATATATATATCTATATATATATATATCTATATATCTAATATATATATATATTTTATATTGGACTATAATCAAAAATATTTATTGTTCTTCTGCAAACAATTATTTCAAAGTTTCCCTTTTTAGAGTCAATGCCAAGCTGTGTGCAAATTATTTGCATGTCTGGCCATAACTTGGCAGGCAAACAAATACAAATCGATAAGCCAGCCAACAGTTGAAAATGTTGTTCACTCACTGATCAGCCAATACAGATATAATAATTTGGTTGCATCTATCAGTCATTAGTTCGGATTCCCTATAGCCTCCAATTTGAATTCGTGACGTTCCACTATTCAACTGAAGTTAATACAAATACATAATAACAACAGCAACAAAAACAAAAACAAACAATTGCAACTGCAATATCTAAAGATTATAAACTATTTCTTTACACTGCATGCTTCGTCTCCCCCGCCCCTTCCCCGTGTGCCGTCATTTCAACAATTGTGTGGCCAACTAATTGAGTTTGCGTGTCTGCGCCAATTGTTTTATTGATTTCTGAAAATTTGTTTACAAAATGTAAAATGCAATATACAACAACAACAACAAGCAACACAAATATGCATAGCTAATAACTGAACAATTTCTTGGCTGAATAAATTGCAAATTGTTTGTATAAATGAGCGCCCAATGTGGGGCCATTAAATTCCCAAGCGACACTCTATTTATTTGTGTTGTAAGACCCATGTGGCATTACGATCCGACCAGATCGAAGCCTCTCTCATATCAAATGGCCACCCAATGTGGGGTTTGTTTGGCAAAAGTTTCCAATATAGTATTGCAATCATTTTCTTGTTTCGTGGAAACAACATTTAATGGCACTCAAGATCAGCAATGACAACAACAACAACAACAGACCAAGACGAAGCAGAAGAAGAAGAAGAGACGCACTCAAGTCAAAATTATTTGTGCAAAACAGCAGTCGTTGTCATCATCACCAGCAACAGCAACGGCAACAGCAACAGAAGCATTGGCAGCCACATCATCGTCAGCGGCTTCGTCTAAGGACCAGACAACAAATTTGGCCGACAGCCAAACTTTAAACAAATAAGGCGGCAATAACAACAGGCTGGTCCCAGACTCTGCCCCCTTCTAGCCGCCGCCTCCGCACGACCCCTCCACTACCCCGACAGACAGCGGAGGAGTGAAAAAACTATCCATAGAAGACAAATATGATTCGTTTCTTGCAACAGAGTGTATGGACGAGTATATATGTCTGCAAGTATTTTTGCCAAGTTAATTAGGTTGCCTAGACATAGGGACACACACACACACACACACATATATATATATGTATGTATGTATATGTATAGATATATGTGTGCTAAGGTGCGGACTTGCCACTCAATGGGATGGATCTGATCTTAGGATCGGGGGCCAGGCGTCGACAGCTGTTTGCCGCACATTTTTGTGCTTCTTGCCATATTTTAATTGACATTTGTTGTTGTTGTTGGTGTTGTTGGTGTTGCTAGTTCTGGGGGTGCACAGCAGCTGGCTTGATTGCGGCTTATCAGTAAAAGGTAGAAACATTTGTGCATCAATGCCGCACTGATTGATTGAACGAGCGAGCGAGCGAACGAATTGTAAGGAAAGATCGTTGGCAGCAAGCAAGAAATTGCTGCGAAAACAACAACATTCTGCACTCTCGCCACTCTATTCTGTATATTTTGTTAAGTAATTTCCTGAAAATCCACACATTCCCACACACACGTCCATTTAGTCTAGCTAAGCGACAAGTTCCTAGAAATTGGCAACTAGCGAGTCAGTCAGTCGATTGATTCGGCTTGTTGTTCTGCCGCCGGCAATATTTGCATGCTTGCATGAAATTCAATACAAATGAAAATATTTGTGCACACAACACACACACAGACATACACATATGTATATATACTTATGTACATTTGTATAGATGTGGCATATCTGTAGAATCGTCAGCTCTCTGCCTGATTTCTGGTCCATGGGTGCGCGCAAAAATGTATTTCTTTTTTGGTTTCTTTTTTTTTTTTTTTGCAATCGCAATTAGTGCAAAATGCAGTCTGCCTTAATCAATAAAAGTTAAATAAGCAAAACGGCCATACGCCCCAAAGACACCCACACACCCGCAACCGCACCTCCCCCTTCCCAGCCAGCCAGCCAGCCAGTCAGCCAGCCACGCCCCTGAGAGCAGCATTGGAATATTCTTGCACTTTTTTTTACGAGTAGTATTTAGCAAAAATTCGTAGAAATTTATTATATACGAGCACCTCTCAATACAAAACTGAATAATACATACGAGTATATATATATATATATATATACATACATATATATAAATCTGTATATATGCTTGGAGTGAGTTCCATGGAGCTTAGGAAGCGGCAGCAGCCTTGCTCGGACGCTTAACGAGCATTTGATTTGTTATTAATGGGCAGTGAGGCGCGTTGGCTGATGAACTGTTGGCTTAAAGACTAAACAGAAATCTTGAGCACACACACACACACACACACGTGTGTATACCTACATACATCAATTGCTGATAAATGGCCAAGTTGAGCTTTCGGCGCGCCCAGCTAATAGTTTCATTCGAACAAAAGCTATTGACTGGCTGACTGACAGAATGACTGACTGACTGACTGACTAACCGATGGACTTCAGCAGCAAGCCAAGCATCTGTGGAACTACTTATTATTAGTTAAGAAGCTGAAAATAAATATCTAGCGACTTGAAAAATAAGTGCAAGAAAACGCTCCCAAGAACTAACTGAATGAACAAAATCTATAGCCAGTTCCAAAGTTTAATTGCAATTAAAAAAACAAAAAAAAAAATGCATTTCAGATTATGCGTTTTTCTTTTAAAAAAGTTAACTGAATTAATTAATAAAAACATTTATGTAGTCTGAGAGTTCCTTACAAATCAAAATAAACGAACTAGAAACATTTAAGTAAAGATATATACGATTATATTTATATAACTGTACTATAGTGGACAAAATTAATTGATAAAGAAATTTAATTCATAATTTAAAGTGTATATATAAAATATATTGTATATGTAACACATTAGATTATTTTAAAACTCTTCTGGTTTAACCAAATGAACCATTGGATGGAGATTGGAGGCGATGTCTGTACAGTTCTTTAGAATTTTGAATGCCAGATGATGATGATATATGTTCCACTTACCTTGAAATTTAAATCAATGTAGTGTCCGATCAAAAAACAGCAAATTTTCTGGAACTGAGAAATTGTCTCGACAAGTGGTTGCACTGCAAATAGAAATAGTTGGAAATGTTTAGCATATAACTTTTCTTTTTGAAATCTCCGACTTGCTCTGAAGAGCGATCAAATAGTTAAGCAGCTCTAGACTAATATTTTGAAGAACTGAGCAAATTTTCCCTCAAAAGCATGCATTTTTATAGAAGAAGCATAAAATAAACATATACAAGTCATAAAGAAATTCTAAAGTTCAGGACTAGTAATATTAATAGATAGAGAGTAATAGTAAAAGAATTCATTAACCTTAAAACCAATTTTTATTGCATAACAATCGAACATTTGCGGGCCATATTTCTAAAGATTCCAGCAGATTAGCAGAAAATTCAACAAAAGCTTGCGCGTGATTCTACAGATATACTATGTTACTATATTGTATATGAGATATGTACATTCTTGCATATACCTCTATATATGGATGTCTGTGTGTATATGTTATCACAAGTGCCGTTAGGCTGATTGGAAAATACTTAAAATTGTCGATGCCGTGTGGCGTGACACTCGATGAGTCACGGCTATTGGGAAAATAGTGCGGGTATTCGCAAGAAATGTGTATCGATTGTTTATAGAAATGTCTGTTTAGCTAATTACTATATACTATAGTATATGTATGTGTAAGCAGAAAATCATTTTAGATTAAGACTCTCAATCAGTTGTCAGTCAAAATTGATTTCGACGACCATATAATGCCATAAATATAGCTATATATGTATGTATGGCTAATGATACAGTTTTTGGCAGCATCAACAACAACAACAAGAAG